TAAATATTATATGTGTAGACGTTAATTTCTCTAGTTTAACCACTTTAGTGACTAACAAACTATATAAATACAAAGCACACATAATATCATAAAATTTTGTGCATGTGAATAATTTTATACATTTTAGTTTGGCCACTTTGGTGATTAACAAACTATAGAAACATAATACATGCATCAAGTGATCATAAACATGATATGTGTAGACGTTAATTTCTCTAGTTTGACCACTTTGGTGACTAACAAGCTATTTAGCACAAAGTACACACATTATTTATTACTTAGTATAATGACCACATTAATTTGTAGCAAAATTGATTAATTACCACATAAACTAAAAGAATAATAATATTATATGAATAATAAAGCCAATAACTTGTGCAATAAAACAAAATTGTTCATTGTCGTTATTGATAGCATCAATTCACTCAACATTAAATGAAGAAAGGCCTTCAAATTAAGTTCATTCATTTATTATTATTTTAATAATAAAGCAATAACTGATGCGGAAAAGGTTAAAAAACAATTCTCCAAAAAATGCCGCATCCATACAACCCTCTTTTCGATTATTTTACTTTATTAATTTAAACAATTAACTATCAAAGTTTCTATGAAAATCAAATTAAATTGTTCGAAAGAAAATGACGATTGTTCATAACCATCTTTACATATCGCACGATTTTTATTTTTATTTGTAATCCCAAATTATGAACCATAAATATAATTTCACATATACATATCATGTAAATATTATTCATAAAGATGCAAGATATACGAAGATTATCCGTTCAAACAATCCAGGCTCTGATACCACATGTAAGATTAAATACTTTCAGGATCTTGAACATGATAATCTTACATAGAGAATGTTAGAGGCACATACCTGAATATGTGTAGACGTTAATTTCTCTAGTTTGACCACTTTGGTGACTAACAAGCTATTTAGCACAAAGTACACACATTATTTATTACTTAGTATAATGACCACATTAATTTGTAGCAAAATTGATTAATTACCACATAAACTAAAAGAATAATAATATTATATGAATAATAAAGCCAATAACTTGTGCAATAAAACAAAATTGTTCATTGTCGTTATTGATAGCATCAATTCACTCAACATTAAATGAAGAAAGGCCTTCAAATTAAGTTCATTCATTTATTATTATTTTAATAATAAAGCAATAACTGATGCGGAAAAGGTTAAAAAACAATTCTCCAAAAAATGCCGCATCCATACAACCCTCTTTTCGATTATTTTACTTTATTAATTTAAACAATTAACTATCAAAGTTTCTATGAAAATCAAATTAAATTGTTCGAAAGAAAATGACGATTGTTCATAACCATCTTTACATATCGCACGATTTTTATTTTTATTTGTAATCCCAAATTATGAACCATAAATATAATTTCACATATACATATCATGTAAATATTATTCATAAAGATGCAAGATATACGAAGATTATCCGTTCAAACAATCCAGGCTCTGATACCACATGTAAGATTAAATACTTTCAGGATCTTGAACATGATAATCTTACATAGAGAATGTTAGAGGCACATACCTGATGCGGAAGACATCATCACAAAGAGAAGCGGAAGCGTTAGTCGTAAATTGGTTTCTACTAACTTTATGTTACCACAACCGTCAGTGATGGAATTAATGTAGAGAATATGTGGTAACCCTAATGGGTGGAGGGAGGACCAATTTATAGAGGTTATGACTTAATCTGGTACGTCCATCAAGTAACCAATGTACGGACTAGATCTATTCCTTATTAAATATTATTTATGGTATTACTTTGATTCCAAGTAAACTTGGGCCATAAATAAGAAATAATTAATTGTAAATAAATAATAATTCTTACATCTTCTTCTTTTGTTTAAAGCTAAAAGAAGGATTCTGATCTGTTATAAAATATAAAATGAACAGAATATTTATCCACTTTAGCCTATGATTCTTTTTTTGTTTTTAAGCTATCTGAAAGTAATATCAATACACAAACCTTTTCACTTTATATGAAAAAAACAATAAAGTTAAAAAAAAGGGAAATCTTTTATAAGTAGAAAAAAATTAACGTGCCTTCAAAATTCACTGAGCCAAGATTTCCAAAATCAAACATAAAACAAAGAAAATTAATAACTGTACTGATTCTATCGTTTTCCTTCTACATAATTTATAAATGAGAAAGAATATTTGTAATAGGTTTAATAATATTTTCTTCCCCTCAATTGTTAATAAATTCTAATTTTTAATCATAATCATATATAGCTATACATATTTAATCTTAATTATTTGAAACATGTACGTTTGATCTTTTTGTTCGTAAATATTCACAATTTTTCATAAATATTAATCACTCTTTTATTTAATTATCATGTGTTATGTTAAATTTATGTTATTACTTTAGTATTTGATGATAATATATTTCTAGAAGTAGTCCAAATATAGCATATTTTCTTTTAAAAAAACACACACACACACATTTTTTATACTAAGTCATTATCACTAGTATCAAAATTTATCAATAACTTAAATACATATGCTATTATTATTTGTAATTAAGTTTAATTAGAATTATGATAATTTGGTCACAATAACATTTTACACTACTATTTAAAAGTAGTAATATTTTGTTTGTGCCAATTTATATGATACTCCTTCCGTTCTTTTTTATATGTCACCTTTTTAGATTACACTTGCATTAAGAAATTAAGTAGCTTTACCATTCTACCCTTATTTAATATTTTCTTAAGTCAACTTTTCAATAAATGATGAATATGTTAGATTTCAAAAATTAAAATGCATTTGGATGACTATTTAAATTTTTGAGTTTATTTTTGGAGCCAAATATTTTCACCAATTGATCTAAAATTTTAAAAAAATTGTTAAAGCTTCAACTTTCAAAATTATTTTTTACTTTTTCTCCATCTTTTATTTTAAATTTTTGCATTAAGAAATTAAGTAACTTTACCCTTCTACCCTTATTTAATATTTTCTTAAATCAACTTTTCAAAATATGATGAATATACTAGATTTCAAAAATTAAAATGCATTTGGATGACTATTTAAATTTTTGAGTTTATTTTTGGAGCCAAATATTTTCACCAATTGATCTAAAATTTTAAAAAAATTGTTAAAGCTTCAACTTTCAAAATTATTTTTTACTTTTTCTCCATCTTTTATTTTAAATTTGTTTGTTGAGATTTCTTTGTCAAAATAAGATTTTATAGAATAGTGAATGGAGAGAGTAATTAATCAAAGTGTTCCAATAACTATTAATACTTATTAGTTTTCCTAGGTTGGTCAAAGTATATATTTTCAAGACTAATTAACTACTCTATCCAGGGTATAATAGAAAGAATATGGTAATTTATGCATTAATTTTGTGAAATGACAAGTATTATGAACCAACTATTTATAGAAAAAGATGACATATAAAAAAGAAAGGACGGAGTCTCTTCAAACTTTGAGAGTTGAATCTTTTAGTTTTAATTGTGAGTCAAACCTTTCAATTTGGACGTAAAATCTTTAAAAAAAATCAAATAAAATTTATGTATTTAAAAATTATGTTTTACAATAACTTGCCACCACACTAAAAAATTCACAATCACTATCTTTTAAGTATGCATTAGATAAACCCATTTATTTACAATAACTTGCCACCACATTAAACAATTTTGATCGAAAAAACATTGACAATTCTTTAACATCTCTTATGAAATATCACCCGATATATCAATTCAATTGCCCTAACAAATTCCCAAAAGTTTTGAGTTGAGTTTTTTTTCTTTTTTTTAAAAAACGTTTCATTGTTAATTTACCCAAAATGTTTTGTATGACTGTTTTATAACCTACCAAAAAATGATTTAGCTACTCTGTAACTTACCAAATATGATTATACTTTAATTACTAATTAGGTTAATAAATTCCCCTCCCATTATTATTTTTAAAAAATTTACAGCTGTAAAAACAATAAATGTTCCATTATAACTACCAAAAAAACAAAGCCAATCCCTTTCCTCTTTCTCCTATACTTACCTTAAATAAAAGTCCGTTTCAGTATTTAACTCTCTTTTAAATATTTGTTGCTCTTCTAATTTATACAATTCAATTTCTTTTTAATTCAGATTAAAACAAACACTATTCTACACCTAGATAGATAATTTATAATCGCACAAACATTATTAATATAATACAAATCATAAATTTTAAAAATCTTTTATTCTTAAATTCTATATCTAGTCAAACTAACTAATATAAATTGAAACGGCATGAATATCTATACATATTTAATGAGATAGATTTATAGTCCATAATTTAGACATAAAGTTTAAAAATCTTTTACTCTTAAATTTTGTATCTAGTCAAACTAACTTATATAAATTGGAACAGCATGAATATCTATACATTTTTAATGAGATAGATTTATAGTCCATAATCTAGACATAAATTTTAAAAATCATTTATTCTTAAATTCTGCATCTAGTCAAATTAACTTAAATTCTTCAATTTCATATCTAGTCAAACTATATCATAGAAATCGAGACGGAGGAGGAGATGGAATATATTTTCCCTCTCTTTTCTGGTTTCTCTTCCTTAGCAAAACCAAAAAAACACCCTCTGTCTCACGCAAGTAATAATCTTCCATAAAAGGGTGTTCTCAGTCAGCTTTCTCTTTTCTTTCTGTATCTCATTCTATATTAGTGCTAAACATTCAAAGGTTTCAAAGTTATCAGTCCCCCTGACCCTGTTACTCTGTTTTCTTACAGTTTCAAGAATTCAAACCTCCGATTTTTTTCTCTTTATTCAGGTCAGTGTTTCTTGTGAAGAATGTGTTTAATATGCATGTGACTGTTCTTTGAACACAGGTGGTGAAAGATGGATTCAGGGGATGGCTCTGGTCCAAAACAGAGGAGAACTAGACAACAGTTTTTGAAATATTGTGTTGATTTTATTGAGAAAAGAAACAGGTCCTGTCAAAATGGTAATCTTACTCCATCTTCTTCGACTTGTTCCGTGAATATTGGAAAAGAGGGTGTGAGTTGTGGGAGAAAAAGAAAAATGGCAGTCTCAGAAGGTGATAAGAGGAAAATGGGAAAATGGTCAGAAGATGCAAGAAAGTTAAGAAAAGGGAAGAAAAAAGTGGATAATGGGAGGAGGTGCAAGTTCAGTCCAGGAACTTGTGAGTCTATCATGGAACGGATTTTCGTCGAGGAAATACCTGATGATGATGATACGGATGATTCGGAGGATGATTCTGATGATGTTGTTATCATTGAAGAAGAGGAGGGTGTAAATACTGAATCAGGTTCAGGATGGTGGTCGAATACGGGCTTAAAGAGTAATATGTTGAATGCAAAAGATCAGGAGGTTGTTTCATCTACCTCAAGCATGTGTGGTAGGACACCGGGGAAATCGGAGGAAGTGGATACTGATAGCACCTCATGTTCTGAGTCTGAGTCGGATTCCGAAGCTTCAAGTGATGAGGATAATGATGACCCTGAAGATAAGAATTACAGGTTGATTGAGTCATCAAGTTCTAGCCAATATGATGATGTAATAAGTGATTTTGATGATACGGAATCAGAAGATGAAAAGAATGAAGAAGGAGAAAAAGAGTCGAATGAGGGGTTAGTACCTGAGCTTGTTGCTGAGAGTGAAAAGCAGAAGAAAGGCGGAGCAAATGTTCTTCGTGCACGTTCACTTTCTAAGTCGAAAAAAAAGAAATTAAACAATGGAAATGATAGTAGTAGCCCAATTCTTCTTACTGATGAGGAGGAGTTTGATGAGGTGGGGTCTGATGGCGAGGAGTCTAAATCTGAAGAGGAATGCGAGGTTGATGACTCGGTGAAGAATGTTGTTCAAAAGGATGTTGTTCGAAAGGATAGGAGGACTGGAAAGAAGATTCTTGAAGATTCTGAATTTATGAAGTTTGTTGTTGATTCTATCATAAATGTTGATGATCATGATAAACTTACTCCTTTTGAAGAGAAGGAACAGGTTCCTGTCAAGGAAACACTTCCTTTAGTATTTCGGTTTGAAGACGAGGATGAACCTCCTCCCCCTGAGAAAGAAGAATGGGAAAAGGAAGTTGAAAATCTTTTTGCTGAAATGCAGATGTGTATCTTAGAGTCAGATATTGGCTTTACAAATCCATCCGTTTCGCCGATGCAGAGTGGAGATTTAAGTAACTGTCAGATGGGAAACCACCAACTTGTTCTAGATGAACAAATTGGACTCGTCTGTAAAGTTTGTTCCTATGTGCATTTGGAGATCAAGTACATCTTCCCTTCTTTTGTAAGTATACGAGTTTGTCCCGTGAAGCACTTTTTCTTTTAAAATTAGGAACACGATTTCAAGTTCTACATGAATCATTTCAAAACAACTACTTTTTATGCTACTAGATTGAAAAGGTAATCTACACGGTTTAGCTAAAGGACATACTACACAGTCTATTATTTTACTTCTAATAGTAGTGATATCAGTAGCAAACAGTTTACTAAGCACTGAAGTAGAAGTGTGTCCTAGTCTTTTGTGCCAAAGACTAATATCCAGTTTGATGTTTGATACACCATTAGATTCTTGAGAAGCTAAGCTAATAGGTTTTCCTGCAGCTTGACTCAGTCACCAATATAGTCCATAGTCCTCTTTACCAATCTCCTTCACCTTCCCAGTGAAGAGATCCGGAAAAACAAAGAAGTCAGGAAAGAAGGAAACAAAACATTGCAACTCTCTTGTTAGTTTTGAAACTGAAAGTAAATTGAACTTAACCTGTGGGATATACAACACATTGGATATAGTACTCTCATCAGATATAGTACTTGATCCAGTGTGCGTAACCTGTGCCACATCTCCATTAGGCAGTTGCACTCTGTTAGGATTGCTCAGTTTATTAATTGAGGATTTATTTAGTAAATTCAAGTCTGAAGCCATATCGTTTCACGCCTCCTTTCTTGAACTATCTTTGGGAATCACATTGTATGCTGCACTTCCACTTTCAGTAACCCTTTTCCTCTTGAATTTGAATATATGTGGATACCCCACTATTTTCCAGCAATTCTCCTTGTTGTGTCATCTTATCTTGCACAAATCAAAGTACAGGTGTGAGTTTTGGCTACCACCTGTTCTGCTGTACATTGCAACTTAGTTACTTGAGTTTGTCATTGGATTGAAACTAACTAGTGATTTTACTACTTTACTCCTCTAGTCTATGTTACTTCCTTCAACATGCTATCCTTATATTTGATTTTATAAACTGGCTCTCCAATTTATTTTTGCTTGACTCTTAAATTCTTAAACTTCTGTCATCTGCAGGCTCAGAGAACTCGAGGGAGGTATGAAAGAAAACATTTAGGACAGTCGCCATCACTCTTGGATGTTGGTGGCTTCAGATTTTCTGATTCTTCTGCAGTCCAAGATTCTATGATTAATGAAGAAGGAACTGTGTGGGATTTAGTTCCCCCAAGTGCCAAATCAACAATGTATCCTCATCAACGTGGTGGATTTGAGTTTATGTGGAAAAACGTTGCTGGAGATATAAATCTCGAAAGGCTGAGACAGCCCCTATCTGATAGCAAAGGAGGATGCATAATCTCACATCCACCTGGCACCGGGAAAACCCGTCTCACCATAGTATTTCTTCAGTCATATTTGAAGCTGTTTCCAAAGTCTCGACCTGTAATCATAGCTCCTTCCAGTTTGCTGCTTAACTGGGAAGCTGAGTTCCAGAAATGGGAGGTGGACATTCCCTTCCACAACTTGAACAGCAAAGATTTCTCTTTACAGGAAGATGAAGCTACTGTGAGTGTCTTTCGCTGTTTATCCCATGCTGGAAAGAGAAATCCACACCTTATACGAATGGTGAAGCTGGGATCATGGGTTAAAGGTAAGAGTGTTTTGGGGATCAGCTATGACTTGTTCAGGATTCTTACTGGAGATGATGGAGACGGTTACGCTAAACCGATTAGAGAAATCCTTCTTAAATATCCTGGTCTTCTGGTCCTTGAAGAAGGGCACACTGCTCGGAATGAGCAAAGCCTTGTCTGGAAAGCTTTGAAAAAGGTTGAAACAGAGAAGCGCATAGTTTTGTCTGGAACTCCTTTCCAGAATAACATCAAGGAGTTATACAACACTCTTTGTGTAGTCAGTCCAAAGTTTGCTGCAGATTTGGAGCAGAAATGGGCTTCTCTTAGCAGTTCCATTGACAAGAATGCCCGAGCATTGGAAGAGCTTAGGGATATTATTTCACCACTTGTCCATAAGTGTAGTGAAAATGTAAAGAAGGTAAGCCTTCCGGGTATAAGGGACACTGTAATTCACTTGAAACCCACAGATTTGCAGAAGGAGTTGCTTAGAAGGATTCCAGAGAATCCAAGCTCCTTTTATGAACAAAATCTGGTGTCTCTTATCTCTGTTCATCCTTCATTAGTGGCCAAGAGGAAGGAGTTCTCTGACTTAGAAAGTCAGCTAACAGAAAGAGGCTGTCGGTTGGATCCAGATACCGGAGTAAAAATGAAATTTGTTGTTGAGCTTATCAGACTTTGCGGTGGGCGGAAGGAGAGGGTTATAATATTTAGCCAGTTACTTGATCCTCTAAACCTGATCAAGGAGCAACTCAATTCTCTCTTTGGCTGGACTTTAGGTCGGGAGATTCTCTATATGGATGGGAAACTTGATGTGAAGCAGCGGCAGATATCTATAAATTCTCTTAATGACCCTAAGAGTGATGTAAAAGTGCTTCTTGCATCCATAAAAGCCTGTTCAGAAGGAATAAGTCTGATAGGGGCCTCAAGAGTGGTTTTGCTTGACGTTCTCTGGAATCCCTCAGTAGAACAGCAAGCCATCAGTCGAGCTTACAGGAATGGGCAGACCAAATTTGTGCATGTTTACTGTCCAGTAACATCAAAATGGGAGGTTGACAAGATTGAACAGCAGACGAGAAAAAAGTACCATTCAGATGTTCTTTTGTCTAGGGATCATGAAGCCAAGATGGATCCTTCATGTTCTGTGTCAGAGGATAACATACTAGATTCTATGGTTGAGCATGAGGGCCTCCGTCATATTTTTGAAAAGCTCTCTCATGCACCACGTGTGGTGCCGCCTACAACATGCCTTGATTCGTCTAACCAACCTCCAAAACCAAGCAGTTAGGTTAGTATGTGTTTTCTTCTGGTTTGCTGGTACATGAAGCAATCAGACTTTTTTAGTGTATTTTGTTTACTGCCTGTCTTTGAAAAATGGCTCAAATGCTTTATCTCTTTCTTATCAGATCAGTTGGAGCATTTTTTGGGTTGCAAAGAACACCTGTTAGAGGAATTTTGAAGCCATTCGTCATTACAGGTACATTATCATACCATCACTAAGCATTTTTCTGAAGATTCTAAATGATGTATTTGTTGAATACCCAAGACGCAACAATCTGTGAAGCTTTTCATATGCTAATGAATTAACTTGGGAGTTACATACATTCATGGTAAATGATGGCCTTTTATACAGTCATCATACTTGGTTACTAACACAATAACCTAAGCATAAGAATAGGATTAACTTCCACTGGGCATTAAGAATAATAGTGGTATTTTAACAGTCTCCCTCAACTCTTGCTTCTTTCCTTTTAATGACGCCGAGAACGACAGAAGCTTCCAAGCTAACTGCTGGTTGAGCGTTTTGTTAATAATCGGCAACTTGATTTTCTGTTTTGACCTGCACCATTTCCATTTCTTCTTCAAGAACTTTTTCACGAATAATATGGTAATGTACCTCCACATGCTTAGTCCTAGCGTGAAACACTGGATTCTCCGCCAACCTTATCGCAGACTGGTTATCACAATACAATGGAATTGAATACTTCATTGGCTGATGCAAATCCTTCAGCAACTGTATAAGCCAAGTGATTTCCTGAGCTCCCACCGCTGCTGCTCGGTATTCCACTTCTGTTGTTGACAACAACACAGTTGATTTCCTCTTGGTACACCAAGAGATTGCTCTGGATCCAAGTATAAACACATATCCCGCAGTTGATTATCGAGTATCATGATCACCTGCACTGCTAACTTACAATCTCTACCTTTCTTGTATAGTATACCATATCCAAGTGTACACTTGACATATCTCAAAATCCTTTGAACTGCTTCCAAATGAGGCTTCTTTGGATTTTGCATGTTCCAACTCATCACACCAACTACATAAGAGATGTCGGCTCTAGTTAAAGTTAAGTAGATCAGACTACCCACTAATTGTCGATACATTGTGGCATCTTTCAAGTCTTTCCCTTCATAAACACACATATAGCATTTGGCTCCATTGGTGTTGAGATTGGTTTGCGATTGGGCATTCCAAACTTCTTCAGCAAATCTTTGGAATACTTTTGCTGATGCAGACAGATTCCTTCTTCAGTGCATTCAGCCTCCAAGCCAAGAAAATGGTCGAGTTGTCCTTTGTTTGGAGAATTTCTTCCTCACCATCTCCTGTCAGGATAAGGTCATCCATATATACTAGCACAATAGCTAGTTTTCTGCCAACAATTTTCACAAAGAAACTGGAATCTTCTGGTGCTACCGAATAACCAATATGATTAAGAAATTCAGAAATCTTACCATACCATGCTTTAATCCATAGAGTGCCTTTCGAGGCTCACACACATGCTCGGGGTGATCTTGACTCTGAAAATATGTCGGTTGACACATGTAGATCTCATTATCCAACTCTCCCTGCAGAAATGCATTTTTTCACATCCATTTTTCACAGGTTCCAATCCTTACTAGCTGCAAGTGCAAGTAGGACTCTTGCCACTGGACTAAACGTTTCATCGTAGTCTAGTACATATGCATATTGCTGAGAAAACACCCAAGCTACAAGACTTGTACCCTTAAATTGATCCATCTGTGTGATGCTTTATCTTGTAGACCAATTTAGTAGAAATAGGTTTGACATCCTTTGGATTTGTCACGAGCTTCCATGTTTGATTTCATTCTAGCACATAGCAATTTCCTCCTAAACCACTTCAAATTCTGATATGCTTCCTCGAAAGTTTCTGGTTCTTTTTCATTTAGTTCTTCTGCTATGGCAGCATTGCCATACTTGGAATTTTGCTTTCTGGTTCTTGTTGACCTTCTAAGTGGGAAATGACAATCTTTGGCCATATGTCCCTTCTTCTTGCAATTGTAGCACTTCCCTTCAAACTTTTTGCCGCTACTTTGATTTTTCCAACCACCCTCTCCTCCAGTGTTCCCTTTGCCTTGACAACCTCCAATGCAAGATTGCATGCAATAGGCCCTTGTGGTTCTGTTGCTTAGTGCACCGGGCTGCCATTTCATCAACACTTAACCAAATTATTACTGCTATAAGTTTCATTAACACTACTATGTTGCAACGGAACTGTTTATACTGAATAAAAACATCACAAATACCGCATTTTTAGACAAGAAAGATCTTATTTTTGTAACATTTTTATCTTTTACTTATTCCTTTCCTTCTGGTTTCAGGTACTTTGATGCAGATTCACATGAAGAATGCAGATAAGATTAGGAGTTTTTCATCACCCAATGGATGTTCTTGTACCTGCAAAAACATTGCTTCATGTCTATTTATGTATACACTTCACATCATATATTATGATTTTGATGATATAAAAAATTAACTTCTCATAATTTGAATGGATAGTAACTACGTAACATCTTACAATGTCATGATTAGCTATTATTGTTTTAGTTAGTTTATGGAAATAATGTTAATTCTAGTTGGTAAAAATCTAAGTTATTTCCAGTAAGCTCATTGCTAATATCTTCATTAAAGTAAGTATATGCAGCAGAAGCCTCAGTTTGATTAGCTATGTAGCTCATCCTTTGGAAAAATTCTTTTTTGGTTTCTTATTCCATATCTACATTAGAGTCCGACTAATCTGGATTCGTATAGCGTAGCTCTTTATCAATAATTTTATATACCTTTCGAAAAAAAATCAATATAAGTATTGTACGAGAAAATTAGAGTGAATCATATAATATTTGCACCCAATACTTTTAGCAAGATCTTTTACCTTATTGTAGATGTATATATAAGTTGTGAATGGAGAGCACACCAACTGATTTTTTATTTGACTAACGCTTATTATTTAGTGTAGGTATCACATTCAATATTTGCTATCTAGAGTTAATTTACTGTTACAATCACCATTTTAATTTAGTTACTTGGATTATTGCATCACAAAATAAATAAGAGTTCTACACACTTTATGCTTAAATCATACGTATTGTTAAAATCACAAAAAAAAAGTAATAATGTTTGGTCATGATAGAGCAACAGGATCATTAAAGTGCAACATAAATCAAGAATATAATTTATAAGAATGTACGTGTTAGTTGTTTAAGAATGTGTGTTTGTTGTTTAACTTTGTAGGTCTGGATAATATCTAATTATTTGTCGCTCATCAATTAAACGTTTATTGATTTCATATTTTATTTTTTATTTTAAATTTATGTTACTTACTGCACTTTAATTTATATATAATTCATATTGTATATACTATTGGCAGGGGACACATATACAATGTACGTGTCAGAAATTCGTACATACATAATTATATACATTTGTACGCAATAAATGATTTACAAGTATTAGATACGTTTTTTGAAGTTTAATTATCACTTTTATCACTTTGATTGATTTAGGGCCCGTTTGGCCATAGATTTCCCAAATAATGTTTGGGAAAAAATTTGGCAAATAGTGTTTGTCCACACAATTTGCCATTATTTGGTAAATATTTTTGGCAAATATCCCAAATTCCCAAATACTAGTTTTTCTAGTATTTGGGCCGAATCTCATTATTTGGGATCTTTTGAAAATTGAAATTTTACCCCAAACTTTTATCTTTTACAAAAACATCCTGTATAGTAGTTGTTTGCGTCGTATTACATAATTTTTCACGAGAACACCAAAGTAGTGATGAAATATTCAGTGAATATTAAATGATGATATGGTTGTTGATGAAAATGATGAACAATCGGCTCAGCTTAACAAAGTCATGTGTTTTGTCTACTTCACGATGTATGGAATGATGCTTGTTGCACTCACTCCAAACTACCACATTGCTCTAGTGTCATGGACACTATTTGTTATTGTTGCAACGAAGATTCAAATTGACTTGTAATACAAACTTATGGTTAGTTTTGATAGTTTTTAAAACTTATGGGTATAAATCATATTTTTCTAAAAAAGTGAAATATATTTCCCAAATACTATGGCCAAACACATGGTGAAATTTCACTCAAATTTTCACCCAAATAATATTTGCCAAGAATATTTAGAAATCTATGGCCAAATGCTAGCTTAGAGGAGAATTGTGAATTTTAGGAAAAGGTAGAGTTCAGGATTAGGGCTAATAGGAATGAATTGTAACTACTTCAAATTATTATAAACCACATACCTCAATTAGTAGGGTTCATTTTTGCCTTCAAAGTTCAAAAATTGCATGTTGCACTAACTCTATTTTTTGTCTGTTTCTTATTTATTTATTGTTAGAGAGCCCTTATAACTCGCTATTGATAAGAATCCTCGGGGCATGGCCATGTTGGCCTTCTTGTGATGGGCTTGTCATTACAAGGTCCATTGACCAACCTAGGTGAGTTTTTCATTATATCATCATGGTTGATCAAATATATATTTTTTCTTGTTCTTTTCTCTTGCCTAGACTTTTGCCTTCTTACGAGCCTTCTTGAATTGGTGAAGTTGGATTTTCTGTCACTCCCCGATCTACACCCTAGGCGGGACTGGCACTCGAGAACCATTGTTGGGACCAAGCGAACCCTTGGCATGGCTTACTTAACTCAGTGGAAGACTCTAAGCATGATTTCAATGATCAAAATAACTTTCTCAAATAGCTTAATAATATAACTTAGAATGTTAAAAGGATTAAACATTCAATTTCGCCAAAATGGCAACCCAAGTCTTAACATAAGATAAAATGAGAAGACTAAAGAACTAATAACTGACTGTCTATGAAGCCTCTAAAACAACTGAGATGGATGTTGGGACAAACCTCACAAAAACCTAATGAACTAAACTAGAAAGCAAATAAAGGACTCCTCTGAATGCAAGGAGGCTCACCACAGACTTTGAGTGCTCAAGCTGGATCAACGAGGCGCTGGATGCTGATCCTGGTTACCTGCGTCTGCATCATAAGATGATGCAGGCCAATTGATATCAGTACATTGAATGTATGAGTATGCGAGTTGGAATGCTAAACAATACATAGGCTTGAAAAGATTCTGAAAGAAACACTTACCTTTACTCTTCTCAACTCATGAATAACTTAACTCAAAATAAAGCAATGAACACATGCAATATATGAAAAGGCTTTATAACAGTAAAAGCAACTTAGTTCGTGAAAGGAATGCAGTAACAAACTCAACTTTACTCATATAATAAAATAATATAGTTTCTGTGGAAGATTCTCTAACCGACAACCACCACTATGAGCCTAAGTGGTGATACAACGTCTTGCCCACGCTGCCAGAATTGTTCTATACTTTGTCGTCACATAGAACGCTTAACTTAGTGGATCCACTAGCTTAACTTATGTGATCATCTAAAAAGTATGACCCATTAATACCCATGATGACTACATGGTTTGTGGAGACTTGAGTTAATATGAACTCCCATCCCCATATCGGTGCTCAATACTACTCCCAAAAATATAGTTAGCTCATATGTTTTAAAAACAAATTTCTTTCTTTGGTTTGAGATAATTACTCAAAACTTAGCTTAAAAGCTCTCTTGGAATTGACGTTCCCTTTTCTTGCTCAAATGTGAAAATATTTATAAACTCTTTGGGAATACTTAGTTCCCTAATAGTGTTTTGAGAAATGAACTCAACTTTTTACTCTTTGCTTAGCTTGAAACTTTAGTCTTATAACAAAGTTAAAAGGTTTGTTAAAGACTCTTGAACCTTAGAACTTAGCTTTGACTTGCTTCTTAACTTCTAGGCTTGACTCTTAACTTCTCTTAACTTTGATCCTAACTTTTCTTGAATTGGATTATGGATTCAAGGTTCATGATCTCACGTTTATGGATGATTTCATGATGTTTAGATGTACCTTAGAGTGTTGGAATCAATTAGAAAACATAGGTACATTGCTAAGGAACAAATACTAAAAGGGGGGAAACGAATGGGGAGAACTGGCGTCCCTGGCGCTTTGAGAGGCGCATGGCGCCAGCCCTCAAACTTCAGAGGACCTACTAAGGCGCGCTGGCTGGCGCGACGCCCCACCTCCTTCCCAGGTTTTTGACGATTTTTCTTCTCCGTTTTTCAACTCTAAACCCTCTAAACCTCAATGGTTCCTTCCCCAAACACTTAGGATCATATTACCCTCAACATACAACATATTTTAACTCAAAAATTCACTCGGAAACACGAATCAAATCAACTAGAGACTTTCAACAACACAATCATCAAGAACTCAATGAATTTTCAACAATGTTCTTCAAGAACTCACTTTCTTTGCATTCAAATAACCTAAATTTGCTGAATTGAAACAAGATTGGCGTGTGGGTGAACTAACCCAACACTATGTGATCTCACATACCTTGTAGGGATCACCCCCGACGAATTCCACAAGCCAAACTTCGACGATCTTGGCGATTCTTGATTTATCTTCTCCTTTCTTCTCTTTTTTCTTTTCTCCAAGCCCTAGCGTGAAAATTCTAATTTTTCTAAACTGACCAAAATCTGGTTTTACCCCAATAAATCTCCTAAGAACGAATTAGAGTAATTAGGTAAGGAAAAGACTAAATTACCCTTCCAAACCCGGATTAGACTTTTCTTAATCCAACAGCCCAACTTCCAAAGGGCATAACTTACTCATACTAACTAGGAATGGTGCAAAATCGGCGGCGTTGGAAAGATCATTCCAACCATACTTGGAAGTACACCTAACTCATCCTGAGCTAGGAGTTATGGCCGTTTGAAGTTGACCAAAAAACTCATTTTTCCTAACTTAACAATATTCCAGATTTGTCACTATTTCCAAAAACAATTATTTCAAATTCTTAGCTTCTTCCTACCTATTTCAAATTGCGAGATGTTACATTTTCTCACTAGACTTAATATACTGTTATAATACTTTTGATTTAGTTACTTGGATTATTGGTTCACAAAATTAGTAGTAGTTCTACACTTAATCATATGGTTAACTAAAGTTGCTCATTTTCTCAATTAAATCACAAAAAATATGAATATTTGGTCTAGCAATCCGATCATCGAAGTGGAACATAAATAGAAAATACTATTTATAAGAAAGTGTTAGTTAATTGTTCAAATTTGAAGATCGAGAGAATATCTAATCACTTGTGGCTCAACAATTAATATGTTGTACATTAATTTTAGATTGTATTTTTTCCACATTAAATTTGATATTATTCATTACACTTTAATTTTAATGTAATTCATACTTTATATACTATTTGCATGGAACACATGCAACACACGTGAAAAAGCTATCACATATCTGAGTTGAGTTTTTTTTTTTTTAAATAGTTTCGTTGTTAATATACCCAAAATATTTTGTATGACTGTTTTATAACCTACCAAAAATGATTTAGCTACTCTGTAACTTACCAAATATGATTATACTTTAATTACTAATTAGATTGATAAATTCACCTCCCATTATTATTATTTTAAAATTTACAGCTGTAAAAACAATAAATGTTCCATTATAACTAACAAAAAAACAAAGCCAATCCCTTTCCTCTTTCTCCTGTACTTACCTTAAAAGGAAAATGGTCTAATATTGTCACGACCCAAAAATAGACGTGATGGCACTCGTCTTATCCCACCAAGACAAGTCAGCCTAAAACTCAATCATTTCAATAAAATGTGGAAATTTCATAATCAACTCAAAAATACCCCCAAAATCTGGTTGTCACGTGTACAAGCCT